CACAGCAAACAGCCTGCCGTTGAGCCATTTTCTCTGCACTGCACAGTTTCTGCTGCCAGGATGAGTCACTATGCAACACATACCCTCATCCCCTCCACTCTGTACTTAAAATACTCTAGGGCTGGCCGGGCAGAACCCCGCTGTGCGTGAGCACGTGTGTGTGTGTGTGTGTGTGTGTGTGTGTGTGTGTGTGTGTGTGTGTGTGAAGGTGGGATTAACAGCTCAGCCCTCCAGAGCCCTCTGCAGAGCAGACTGCATTGCGTTCATTCAGCAGAAAGGTACAAAGAGCCCATAGCTGGGGATGGGGGTGGGGTCCTGCTTTTCAAATCTGGTTCTTTCTCATGCAGCCTGCCAAGTTGCACCCTCTTTTGCAGGAACTTCCATTTTAGCCTCTCTGATCTTGAACAGAAGGCTCTCACTGCTGGGAGTTACTTGCCCAGTCTCTTCTCCCACCCCAGCTTCCGGCCGGCCATCTTCCTACAGACAGGACTGCCCTGTTTTGCTTTTGCCTGCCAGCCCCAGTCTCTGCCTCCAGGGTACATTCTGTTTCAATCACAACATCTGGCCATTTCCTGCTCTAGAACCTGTCATCCTCACTTGGACAAAGGTCCCTAATGCCCCTCTACTCTCTGCTTCCCCCTATCAACCCATCCATAGAGCACTAGCCTTGGGCAGAGCCAGTCGCAGGACTCCAGAACCATCCCTCTTCCCTACCAGCATAGAAAAAGGAATTAAGAATTGCTTTCTTCCCCTTGAACCTTTAAACTGATCTGAGGAATTTCTTCCTTTCTGCGGAGAAACACTGACCTTCACAGGCATTTATGGAACCGTGTTCCTAGTTCCCCACGGCCTGTACCTCCCTTCCATGCCCAGCCACACACTCCACCTGTCATGGGCGCCCCTCCCTCTGGAGAACCACACACAGTCTGCTTTCAACCTGCTGCAAGGGGCCTCAGAACAGAAGCCCAGCCCAGCACAACCACAGGGCCACTATAGGCTCGAGTTATTCATTACTTGAGTTGGAAGAGGTCACAGAGCAGGAAGCACACAGGAATGCAGGGGAAAAGGTGGTGCTGAGGGTGGGGAGTTGGTCAGGGTGACCTTCTAGGGGCTGATGGGAACTCCAAGTCCTGGCACGGCATAGGTATCAGAGTGAGCAGGTAGCAAAGTCATAACAACAGCCATAAGGTTAGGCAAGGTCAAATGGAAACAGCAAGTTATATTTAAGCTAGCTACCTAATAGCTCTTGCTACCCACCAAGCACTGTGCTAAGCACTTTCCCACATCTCCCATTTTATCCTTGCAACAATGTATCACTTCAATTTTACAATCAAGGGGACAGCCCTGGAGACAAGTCACTTGCCCAAGGTCACATAGTTAGCACGTTGCTTGGTGGGAATGTGAATGCAGGTCTGTCTTGCTGGTCACCAACTTGCTCTGTGTGTGAGGTGGTTAATAAGTGGAACAATTCCAGGTGGTCTGGAGTGGTTGGACAGGTGGCGTTTGAGGTGAACTGTGGAAAGAAATCTGGTTCCCCTATGGCTGGGATCATGTTCTCCGGCAGCAACACCAGGTTTGGGTGGAAACAAAACAGTTTCTAGGAAGCCTGGTGGGAGGCTGGTTTAGAATGAGCAGCTGCCTTGGCTATGCAGCCGTGACCCTCAGGACCACATTGGAACCTGTGAAGAGTTTCCATGCAGGGAAAGGAAAAGGAGCAAAGCTAGGATCTGCAATTTGGGAGAGGGAGGTCTCCCTTGGAAGAAGACAGCCGGTCAAGGTCAAGATAGAAAGCCAGACCCAGCATCAGTCCACTGGACATTTTAAGAAAAAAAGAGAGGTTCTGACAAAAAATCTGTCACTGTGATCCTCTCTCCATACTTTGTTTTACCATGCTTCTCCTGGAAGAGAGCTAGAGAGAGATAGCAAGTGAGAGAGAGTGAGAACGAGAGCAAGACAGAGAGAAAAATCAAAGATGGGGGATGGGTGGGGTGAGCACAAAGGATGGTACTACAACCTCCCTCAACCACCTTACCCCTTCCCACTTGGCAGAAGGCAGCTGTCCACGTCCACCCCCACCCCCCCATATGCACCCTTCTCTGCTCTTAGGCTTTTCTTCCTCTTGTAGCAGTTGGCACTCAACAAACACATGCCCTTCCCAGCAACCTGTCTGGCTGGAAACTCCTCCATGAGGCAACTTCTGCCTGGGAGGACCAGGGGCAGATCATCTGCAGGTGCAGGCTCTTCCTGCAATTCTCCGACCAACAGCCTGGGGCTTTTCCAACATAAACACTCCAGGGGCTAAGCAGGAGGTGGCCGCCTTTCTGCCGTTCTCAACCAGCTGTTCTGTGGTTGCCCTTGACGGGTCCTGCCAGCCCCTTTGAGCCGCTTCTCCCCTGAACGTCGGGGGATGTTCAGGCTTGCCAGGTCTTGCAGGTGGGCCTTGAGAAGGGCTAGCAGGAAAGTGCTCATTCTTGATCAGTTCAGGCTTGTCCTTAGACCTGCAAGGCTGACCTGGGGGCAGAATGGTGGCCGGGACCAGCATCTCTGTCTGGTTTGGGGCTGGGCAATCTTCCTGGATGGGCCACATTGCCCCCTGGGGATAGGCTTCTCTGCAGTGACTGCAGAAGCATCCCGGCGTTTTCTGCTGTGTCACTGCCCTGGGAGGGACGCGTGGAGCGGCTCTGCTCAGGGGCTCAGGCAAAGGGGGATGAAACCAAGAGTTCTGCTTTCCAGCAACAGCGGACAAGGGGTGGGAAGGGTTCTCCCAAGCCCAGGTCTGCCCTGCAACCACGTCTCGTTCCATGAGCTAGGTCTCTCCCAAGATACTGGTTCCAGGAATTTTACAGCAGAACCAAGCGGCAGGTACCCC